AGACCACTGAGCCATCTCTCCAGCCCCAAAATAATTTTTAAAAAATAAAATTTGTTTAAAAAAAAAAAGACAGTCTCTTACTATGTAGCATGGACTCTTAGTGATCCCAAAATTAATGCCAATCTGAGAGGAGTTGAAAGATTTACATCTTCGTCCAGGCTCCTGTTTCTGGGCAAGATTTCTCTCCTCCACACCCATTAGACATGCATTGCAACAGACTTTGTTCTACCCTGTCTTCCACCCCCCCTGATTCTCAGACAAAGCTCTCCTGCATGTGGAGAACCTGACTAAAAAATTAGAAGAAAAACGCTTGCATCACAGCGTTTAGCATCACTAAAAGTCTTTCAGTTACACAACAGTCCAGACATCATAGAGGCACTTGCCTATAATCCCACCTACTTTACTTCAGAGGCTGAGGCAGGAGGATCGCAAGGGTAAACTCAGCTAGCACCATTTATTAACTTGAGATCCTGTCTTAAAACATAAAAAGGGGGCCGGGGAGATGGCTCAGTAGGATAAGCGCTTGACGGGCAAACGCGAGGATCTGAGTTCGATCCCCGGTTCCGCCAAAAAATAAAACAAAAAAACATAAAAAGGGGCTGAGGGTGCAGCTCAGCGGGAAGGTCCCGTATTCAGTCAGTAGAAATAACCACTATGCATTTCAGGCTGGTCTTGAACTCACTGTGCAGCCCAGGCTGGCCTCAAACTCGCAGTGAACTTTCTGCCTCAACTTCCCGAGTGCTCAGATTCCAGGCTTGCCCACACATACCTGGCACCAATTTTAGAATGTCCTTCCTCTGCTCCACCATGGGAGAATTTATACTGCTCTTGCCTAGATCCACGCTTTTCTTGCCAACTGATCTCTCTTTCCTTCCCTCCAGTTTGTTTTTTTTTTTTTTTTTTTTTTTTTTTTTTTGGCGGAACCGGGGATTGAACTCAGGCCCTTGCGCTTGCCAGGGAAGTGCTTATTCCATTGAGCCATCTCCCGGCCCCCAATATTTTCTTTGGCAGATCCAGGATTTGAACTCAGGCCCTTGGCCTTGCCCGGGAAGTTATAATTCCACTGAGCCATCACCCAGTCCCCCTCCCTCCAGTTTTTCTCAACACTTGGAAGCGACTGCTTGAGTCAAGGACAGTAGTATATTGACTTTTCGTTGCCTGATTTCTGTTCGTGAGGCCTCATTCTTTATCCGGTGCATACTTTTCCAGATAAAGATGGTTCTTTCTCCTGAAAGTAAATCTGACTTTCCACTTCGACTTGTTTCTGTAAATACTAAATCAGTAAACTATGCCAAGTCTTTGCCCCGAGCCTGGAATTTTAATTCCCGTTTCCAAAGCACAGCACAGGGCACGCTGGGCCACCGCGGTGAACAGCGCTTCCAACTGTAGGGGCAACTGTAAAGGCTCTGGGAGGCATTCAGAGGACGCGCAGACGCCTGCCGTCGACCCGCCCACGAGGTGGCCTCGGTGTCTACGTATCAGGTCCTGTGACTGGACTCGCCTAGTAGTTTCTGCCTGGCGACCTCGCTCCCGCTAGCCATCTCCGCAGCTTCTCAAACGCACACCCAACGCGCTTTCTCGTAGGAGGCAGGAACTACATCTCCCGGCAGGCAGCATCGCCCCCTCCTTCCTCCTCTCCGGCTCTCCAGCTCCGGCTGCCGCGTGACCCGAGGGTACTGGAGCTGCGGTCCTGACTTCAGTTTTACCTCCTCGGCCGCCCGGGCGGGAGCGGGGCGAGAGGAGCTGCAGTCCCGCGCCGGCCCCGCGCACGGGGTCGCTGAGCCACCAGCGACTGTTCCGCAGCTCCTGCGCCCTGAGCATCCGCCGCGAGCAACCCGCGGGGCAACGCGCATGGCCTCTGCGGGCGCGCGGCGGCTGCCGGCCGGGATGCGCACCGCTGTCCAGCGTCCCGGGTGTCTCTCGCTCCGCCCGGCCCCGCCCCCGGGTCCTCCGGGACCGCCGGGACCAATGAGGTGAGAGGGCGCTGCGGGCGTCCTTGCGCGAGCCCGGGGGTCGCCCGGCATCCGGCACCCGAAGGCGGGCAGGGAAGCGGGGCGGGGAAGGGCGGCGGCCTGGGGAGGCAGGCACTGCGGGGGCCTGCGGCAGTGGTGCCCTGGGAGCTGAACCAGAGCATTGGAGGATGCTTTTGCAAGTACCACTTCGTGGTGGGTGCTCACCACTCTTCGGCCCTCGAGGTCGCCCTGGCAATAGTGGGTTTGACACCCCTCCCCATCCTAGTGATACTTCCTGAGAGTCTTTGCTTTCAGCTGTAGTGTAGCCTCACAGGCAAATGGCACCTCGCGCGCTCCCCTTTTCCCCATCGCCATCTCTGGCCGTGTCCTCAGCTGCCCTCGACCTTTCGCACTCGTGACTGCCTGGCCAGGGAACTTGGAGAGCTGCAGCAGGTGCTAGGAGAAAAGCCTGTCCGGATGACCTCACTCTGGGATGCCACCTGGAAATGGCTAAACACAAAAAGAGTCCTGACGTTGCTTCTCCTTTCCTTTTGGTCTTAGGTTTCTCATCTCCTGCAGCCTCTTCTTGCCCCGTGCTGCGCAGGCCTTGACAGCCGAGGTCGGCTTACCCCCCAGTCGTTCTTTTATGGGCTTTACTGCCCCCTTCACCAACAAGCGAAAGGCCTACTCAGAGCGCAGGATCATGGGGTGAGCAAAGATGCAAATTAACCATACTTCGGGTATAACATACTAGTAGTGGGCAGGGTTCATCCCTGACCATCCCCCTTCTGAGCTATATTACTGATCCTTTTTATCTACCCCTGCCAGCCTTACAGCTTGAATTTCCATCCCTCCTTACTGTTGTGCATGTGCACTATATGAAACCACAGACAAATACAAAGACAATAGGGCCTTACTTCTCTGATTGCCTCTGTCCATCTCGATACATCAGAACTGAACCCAGGCCCTTTACACTGAGCTAGATCTCAGGTCTTTATTTTTTAAAAAAATTGAGATAGAGTGTAAGTTGCTAAGTTGCCCAGCCTAAGCTCCAGTTTGCTTTCCTGCTGTAGCCTCCCATAGTAGCTTTTTTTTTTTTTTTTTTGGCTAGCTCAGGATGCCTTAAGGGCAGGTCCGGTAAGGTATGAGGATCTGAGGATCTAACCACACCATCCTGAGCCTGACTGCTTTGCTTAAGGAAGCACTTAAGCAATTGAGCGAATGAGCAGGCCCCCTGCAGCCTCCCATAGTGTTTAAGGTTACAGGCATGCACCGCAGTGCCTATTGTTTCTTGTTGTGGTTTTATTTTTGTTGTTTTCATATTGGGGATGGTGCTCCCTGCACAGCACATACACGTACTGGAGACAGAACTGAGAACTTTGCACCGAGCTATGCCCCTACTCTTTGAAACAAGGTCTACATCCTCCAGCCTAGGCTCACACTTGACATCTTCCTGCTTCAGCCTTTCAAACTGCTGAAATTATAGTTATACCAGTTTACCTGGTTTTGACCGGATTTTTTTTGGCATTTATGTATTTGTCTTTTTCAGACAGGGTCTCGCCGTGCAGCTCAGGCTGGCCTTGAGCTCACCACACCTGGATCTTTTTAGCATTTTAGAGCATGTTTTGATATGCAGTTCAAGCTGATCTTGAATTCACTTTGTAGCCCAAGCTGACCTCAGACTTGAAGCAATCCTGCCTCAGCCTCCCAGGGGCTGGGAATACAGGTGTGTGGCATCATAACCAGCTTGATTTGACTTTTTAAAAATGTTTGAAGCACAATAGTTAATTTATTAAGCACCTGCTGTGTGCTAGCAGCTAGGCTGCTTCAGTATTTTACATAAATTTTCTCATTCAATTCTCAGCAATCCTGTCAATCAGACACTCTTACTACCTCCAATGTATAGATGAGAAAATGGAGGCACAGGTAACTTACCCAGGGCCACACTGTTAGAGATTTGGAGAGCCAGGACCTGTTGTATGATCACTAAAACTACTCTCGAGATCAAACTAATGAATGCAAATACATTCTGCAAAATATAAGGTAACATTAATACCTAGGGGACTTGCATTTGTTTGCTTCTAGGAAATAATTTATTCAGGTTTACTCACCCAGGTGCCTAGTTCCTAAGGGGTGTGCTTTGTGGGCAAAGGTGTGCGGAGGCCAATGGCAAGGAAACTGACCCAGCTGGCAGTCCCTTGGCCTGTCTCATTCCTCTTCCCCTAGGTACTCAATGCAGGAGATGTATGAGGTGGTAGCCAATGTCCAGGAATATCGTGAGTTTGTGCCCTGGTGTAAGAAGTCTCTGGTGGTTTCCAGCCGCAAGGGTCACCTGAAGGCTCAGTTGGAGGTTGGCTTTCCACCTGTCTTGGAGCGCTACACCTCTGCGGTTTCCATGGTCAAACCTCACATGGTCAAGGTAGGGCCTGTCTAGAAAGAAATGGCTAGAAAGTTGTATTCCTTGCTATTTTAAGGGTTATTTTGGCCTTTCTTATTTTATCTGTCAAACGTTTCCCTAGTAAAATATCAGAAGGGAAGAAAACTGGTTTTTCTTTTGTTTTGGTGGTGCTAAGGTTTGAACCCAGGGCTTCATGCATGCTGCCAAGTGCTCTACTAGTGAGAATTGAGATACACCCCAGCCCCTATTTCCTTCTTATGACCTCATACTTATGATTAAGTGGGGATTGTACCGTTCCAGGCTGTTTGCACTGATGGGAAGCTCTTCAACCACTTGGAGACTATTTGGCGATTCAGTCCGGGTATTCCTGCCTATCCACGAACCTGCACTGTGGATTTTTCGGTGAGTCGGAAGGCTTCACAACACAAGTCTAGGAGTGGGGGTAAAGGCCGACCTGGGGTACTGAAACAGGGTTATTCTTCTCAGTGTAGTTAGCACTTAACCAGGTGTGGTGGCACACACCCATAATCCTAGTACTTAAGAGGCCAAACCAGGAAGATTGCAGAGTTTGAGGCCAGCTTAGGCTAGAGTTCAAAGCGAGATCCTGTCTCAAAACTCACTCCAGAAAAAGTATACGCAGCACTATTTCTCAAGGCTTGATGTAGACAGTTTTGAGTATTATGTTCAGTACTGTTAGGGATATTCAGGGGCTAAGAAACTGGAGTGGGCTGGGAAGAAAAGGCATAAGAAGAATGCCTACATTTGGCTGGAGAGTACCTGACATAATCTTGAAGAGTAATTATTTCTTATACTTCCCCAGATTTCCTTTGAATTTCGCTCTTTGCTGCACTCCCAGCTGGCCACCATGTTTTTTGATGAGGTTGTCAAACAGAATGTTGCTGCTTTTGAGCGCCGGGCAGCCACCAAGTTTGGTCCAGAAACAGCCATCCCCCGTGAGCTGATGTTTCATGAGGTGCACCAGACTTGAGGCAGGGGGCTGCTCCCTGGCCTTCACTCACTCCCCTCCTAACTCAGTTCTCTTATTTATTTGGTCTGGCTCCCACTCCAGTTGGAGAGGAGTCTGTAACACTGTTCCTCCCATTCCCCAGATACTGGGCCCTGCATTAGTTGGAAATGCTGAGGGCTTATGGAAACTAGACACACCCAGGAAAGGGTTAGGCTTACCCCACAAGTCCCATATGCCTGCAGCCTGTTCACTGTGTGGTTGTTTCTGGGCCCTGGAAGGATGCTCCAGTATCTGACTGGGAAGAGAACTTCTTGGACTTTTGAATAAACTTGAGCTTCTCCTCTGGCACACAGATACTGGGTGGTAAATAACTTTTACCCTGCTGAGAATCCTCAGGAAAAAACAACCTGTCCTCAGCTTGACATCCACGTTGCCTCAGTTCAAGAGTATTCCTAAGCCTAATGTGCTGGTATACTCCTCTAATCCCAGCCCCAGGAGGCTGAGGCAGGAACATCACCAGTTTAAGATCAACCTGAACTACACAGTGAGTTCAAGGCTAAAAGGGTGTGTGTGGGGGGGCACAGTGGGTGCACACCTATATTCCCAGCACTCAGGAGGCTGAGGCAGGAGTACCTGAAGTTGGAGGCCAGCCTAGACTATACAGCAAGACCGTGTGTCTCAAACAAAACAAGAGTATTTTCATGCCATTGCTGAGTAGAATAACTGTCTTACCATATCAGGGCCACAGGGCCACAGAAACACTAAACAGAGTTGTCTTTGTACTCTTGGATTGACTGTATCTTATTCTTCTTTGGCCTAAATTTTTATAAAACTTAAATAAATTCTGACAGCGTGAATTTGCCTATATTGCATTTCTTGGGAGAATAATGTAGATATAACAGAGTGGAAGAAAACCATGGCTTTTTTCCCTAGAGGCATAAAGGTGTAAGGGAGCTTCTTGGACACAGTGTCCCTGCTAACTATAGTAGCACATTTTACATGCCAGGACCTAGTTCCCACTCCCTTGCCTATTTATAGACTTTTCCAGAAGGTCATTTGCAGCTAAAGTCTCGGGACAGAATCATCTGGTCTCAGACTTCCCATGTATCTGCTACCTTCAGAAGCACCCCTTGTCATCTTTGAGGGCTCCTTACTACAGAAAGCTGCAAAGCAGACACTGCTGGACACCCCAGAGCCCTCTAGTGTTCGGGCCCCAAGCCAGCACTGCTTGTCCCCCTGTCCTCAGTAGGCTTTGCTCCTTTCACCTACTGGGCTCACCCACTTCTTGGACTAGTCATGAAGCACTTGAGAGGTCTTAGTTGTGCTTCTTGCGCGTTCTACGTTATAACAACATTAGCAGAATGAGGGCTAAAGGTAAAGGACTTTGTAAACTAGAGGAAAGAGAACTCTCTTTTGGGAACCTCAAAGGGAGCCTTTCCGCTGAATGCCAAACCTGCCTTAAGCTAAAAGGTTCACACAGAATAACATATCTGTTAAGTAGGTTCAGGACCTCACTGTGTAAATTTCTTATCTCATAATTTCTTCCAGGGCTTATTTAATAGCAGGCTCAAGCATTGTTAATAAAAACATTTATTTTTTATTTTATACAGAACAAACTGAAGTCTGCATGACTTGACGGTTACCCAGGGGTTTACAGTGTCCACCTCAACAGCATGGTTCTGGGATTTGCGAATCCACACAAACGCAGGCAGGTGCATAAAGGGAAGAAGGGCCACAGCAGGAGTGTATCGCAGCCTTTCTCAAAGAAAAGGCAGTGGAGCATTCTGAGTCACTGAAAACCTGTGTTAATGGGGCTTCTAAAACACACGCTGTACCGTGAGCTTTTGCAAAGGGGACAGGAAAAAAAAGACACTGATAAATAAGGGAGCATTTTCTGTGGCAGGGATGGGAAGGGAGGCTTACTACACTCAATGTCCCCAGCCCATGGACCTGATATTCTAAGAAGACCATATATAATCTTGAATCATCTCTTTGCTCAAAAGGAAATGTTCATACCCCTGGGACCAGACCATGAAAAGGCCAGTCATTCCTGAGCTCCTGTTCTATCCCCCATAGTGTATTACCAGGAGAAAGGTCAGACGGTAGTGGCTTGAGTTCTGCAGAAGTAAAAACTTAGTTCACATTAATTGCTGTTAAATCCTAGTGACTGGGAAAGACCACAGATCAGACAGACCTACTAAAGAGGTCTTTAGTAGGGACCAAGAGGGGAAGGTCCAGAGTACCCTCAGCATGAGGCAGATCAGGTATATCAAGTCTGGAAGGAGGTTTTAATAATACTTCCAGACTTCAGGTTTTTGGTTTGTTTTGTTTTGTTTTGGGGGGGGGGGGACAGAACTGGGGATTGAACTCAGGCCCTTGCGCTTGCGAGGGAAGCACTTATTCCACTGAGCCAGCTCCCAGGCCCCCCAGACTTCAATTTTGATGGGATAACAATGAAAATCAAATGAAACATTAGGTGGTGCCTGTCGCAACAAATGCCATACCTTCACAGTTATTTGGTAGCATAAAAAAAGACACTGCCAAGCCATGCCCAGCTATCCAATAGGTCTTACTAGAAGGCATCTATGTGCATGGGCGAGGGCTTGGTACAGCTAGCTGATAATCCAAAGTGATCTTTGTGGAAACAGGAGCGCAAGGTCCTGATTTCCTAGTCTAGAGGGCTGAGCAGAGCAGAAACAAAAGCTCCAGAGTGACCACAGATTGTCTGTAAACTGCTCTGACCCAAAAAAGAGGAGCCAGATTCTTACTTTAGACATGGTGGGGGCCAAACCTAACCCATATCACATGCATTAGTCCCAGTCATCCTCTAGCTGGGGGCAACTCATACCAGGCAGGGGAAGGGAGCTGGTTATGAAGAAGGGATCACTTTTTATCTTTTAAAGTCTTAATTTATATTTTAACGTCAAACATATTTTCAGTGCCTCAGATACAATTTAATTTTAAATCTTTAAAGGCCCCTTGAAACAAAAGTATACTATTTTGTTGTTGTTAAGCTTCTTATCTTCTGGTAGTCAAGTTTCCCCCCAGTTCCCAAGTTTTACCCTGACTTAGAGTCCACAAATTTCATCAAACCATCTGTGCTCATGGATTTAGGCCTTTCTAGAGGGAAGCCCAAGGCTCGGCTCCAGATGAGCTGTGCCAGCACACCCAGAGCCCGTGACACTCCAAATAGGACTGTGTAATAATTCATCTCCGTCATGCCATAGTACTGTAAGATGGAAGAGAGAAAAAAAAAAAAGGTCTTGTTAAAGGTACAGAAGGAGTGGCATATAAATAAGTCCAGGTGAAAAAAACTTTTAAGGTTCCATTTTCCCCTTTTCTCCAGGGATTTAGCCCAGTCAGCCTTAAATAAAAATGATGCTGGGAAAAGTATAACTGGGGTTCTAAAAAGAGGGCAATCCTAGCTCTGACTTCCATTATTTTTATTTTTATTTTTTTAATTTTTTATTTACTTATTTATGTATTTTGTGTGTGTGTGTGGCCAGTTCAGCCCACCAGGGGGCGGGGCTGGCTGGCATGTGGTGCTGGGGATTGAACCGCGGTCCCTGTGCTTTGCTTAGCTTAGTTTGTTCTAAGTAGGTGCTTTAGACCACTGAGCCATCTCACCAGCCCTCTGACTTCCATTATAAGCAATTTTATCAAAAGGTTTTCCAGAGGAGGAGGTGTCAGAGTCCCTGCTTGGAGCCCAGCATGGTTGTGGAAACCTATAAACCCAGCAATCTGAAGCTGTGGCAGAAGGATCACAAGCTAGCGCCCACTAAACCTGGGCAACTTAGTGACCCCTGTTTCAGTAGCAACAAAGGGCTAGAGGTGTAACTCATTCCAAAAACCCTGGCTTCAATCCCCAGTACCAACAAAACAGACTAGGGCATTGCATTTGTGCATGCCCAAGAACAGCAGGATATTGCAAAAATACTAGGGAAAGGGCCAGCAAGATAGCTCAGCAGACTAAACGCCTGCTTAGACAAGTGCAGGGATGGGGTTCAATCCCCAGCATCACATGCTGTGGTAGCCACTCAGACCAGGTGTGGTGGTGCATGCCTGTAATCCCAGCACTGGGGAGGCTGTGACAGGAGGATCATTACGAATCTGAGCTGTGTAATGAGACCTTCTACAAAATGCATTTAAAAAAAAAAAAAAAAGGGAAAGCAGGGAAGGGAAGACTCACCTGGAGCAGCACCCCACTGTGAGCATCTACGTTGGGCCAAGGATTCTTGGCCTTGCCCTGCTCTAGGAGAATATTGGGTACAATCTTATACAGTTGAGCAACCAGTTTAAACATGGGGTCATTGGGCA